TGCGCTAGACCAAGAAATTGCACAATTATTGTCTGAGTATGTCCTTGGCAACCTGAATGTTCAATGTGATGCCTCAGTTATTTTTGTTTTTAAAATTAAATATGGTCCAGGAATTACTGCTAGAAACTGACCTCTTATGATGCCCCTTTTATCGTGGTGTTATACAATGTTGATTACAGTGTTGTTTTGAGTTATGGGACCTGTTAAAGATAAGAGGGAATTCTTTCTGGTTTATTTGGTAAAGCAAAACAAGTTTTACTAGGAACTTAGATAAAAAGCTTACCTCAGATGTTGGTGAGGTAATTACATGTAAATTGGGAGCAAATAATTTTAACCATCATGATACTACAACATGTCATGCTACCAGAAAAGCCTGTTCATTTGAGATTTAAAATTGAGATCATGACTTGTATAACCTGCCAAACTTAGTCCCAGATAAAACTGTTTCCTTTTTTTGTTCCATCTTGATCAAGTGTTCACTTGTTCTGTGTCTGAGGTGAGTGGATTAAACCTTTGTCTTTAAGAAGCAGAGGTGTTTGCAGAGCAAGAACACTGTCATGATGGGTGTGAGGTACGGGGTAGTGCAACTGTTTTATTGTGGTTTCTTATGACACACTGTGGCAGCTGCTTATTAGCAACTGTTTTGAGATAAAATTGCTGCTTGTTTTTTTTTTTTTTTTAAGAGAGGGAGTCTCTGTGGGTTATTTGTTGCAAAAGAGTGATATTTTCTAAGATAATGTGTAGTGCATATGATGGAAATGGTAGAACAACAAAGGCTGTTCTAAAAGCTTTTCTGTTTTATCCTCAAGGATAAGCAGACTTTTTTTTTTTTTTTTGCCTAGCTACAGATTAGAGATACATATAAATTGAATTCACCACAACCTATTCCTGTTTCTATTTGATTCTAAGAATTCATGTGGATCGTTTGGGGTTTTTTGATGAGTCTTGATGTGGCAAAAAAAATCAAAATGAGGATATGCTCGTTTGTAGCTTTCATGTTTGTAACTTGCAACAACTGTACTTGCTGCCTTCAGATTCTGCTTTAGATGTGCCAGGTTTGGGCATCTCAAATATCCTTGCCATGTTTGGTGGGTAGTGGCAGCACTCACTGTGCAGCAGCAGCAATCCTGCTGTGTCATTTTTCACCTTTCTGGCTTTATTGTTACAGAGGCTACAGCCTGGAGGAATTGGAGAAGCACATCTCTCTGCTCCATGAGTATAATGATATTAAAGATGCTGGACAGATGCTGCTAGGCAAGCTGGGTAAGGAAGAGGAAGACTATTAAAGAACTTCTTAATCAATGTTTTCATACAGAGAGAGAAGCCACTACACCATAAAGGCAGAGCTTGTTTTAAGGATTCTTCAATTCTAGGCTTGTATTACCCAATCACTTATGCAAGCACAAATGCTTCTGTCGTTATTTTCTTGGGATGTTTTTAGAACTGAACATGTGAAATAATTGTCATTTACCAGTATTTTAGTCTGTGTTAGGGATTACCAAAATTTGTTAAGCCTTAGTAATTTTTGTCAGTTTTGTTCTTCATATGCTTAAAAAAAAGTGAGACAAGCAGGGGACATAGCTGCAAAACCTTAGATTGGTTTCTTAGCTATGGGAGGTTCTGTGGGATAGTTAGGGGCTGCTGAGGGGAAAACACAACTTTTCTGACTGATCTGATCTTTGTTTAATGAGAGCAATGGTACTTTTTTCCTTTCTAGCTGTTATCCGAGGTGTTACTACAAAGCAGCTCTACCCTGAATACGATCTGGAGCTTAGCGACTAGCATTGAACCTGAATTTTGCCACGTCCTACAAAAATGACTGTTACTGGACCATTACGTTTTGGTGTCATACTGGTTTAGAGCTGATACAACGTGGCCTTGGAAGTATGTATGTAGAATTGCAACAGCATGGGTTAACAGCCTTATTTCGAAGAAGCTTTGGAACATGGAAGTTGTTGGATGTATCAACTGTTTCCTGCTTGTGGGAGAGGTAGAGGTGTGTGGGACTTTGGATAATTTTGTCTACTACCTGATCAACAGGTTTGTTTGTTTGTTTTATTGGAAAGGTTTTAATTCAGGTTGATGTTAAGACTCTTCCCATCAAGCTTTTGCTTCTCTACAACACCCAGGGACTTTGGATATGCTGGTCTGTAGGTGGAAGCAGCAACTACTGAATGGATAGAGGAAGTGTGGGCATACAAATGTGCAATGTAATAGCTGCTTTGAAAGAAAAGAAAAAAACCTCAGAAATGGGGAGGGAAGAAGGCTAAAGCTATGGTGGTTTGGGGGGCCTGTTTTGTTTTATGATCAAATCTGTGTAAGTCTGGGTGTTCTGCATTTTTGTACTTAACTGCTCTGGTATCTAGAGGTTTTGTATCTTTTCTGTAGTAAATGGGGAAATGTGAAGTTGTGTTGAAAGGTCCAGTCTGAATAAAGCAGCTATCACATTTCTCAGTAATTCACTTTCAGAGCCTATAAAACATGGCGTGAACCTGGGAACAAATTCTTAAACTATATTCTGAGATAACCATAACATCTATTATTCAAATATTTTTCTGAGGACTCTTAATACAGGCAGTGTGGCAGCACTACCCAGTAATGGGTAGGCGCAGAATTACCTTTAGTCTCTTCTAAATGCATAGTCACTGTGAAAGTGAGCGGTGTCCTAAACACAAAATTATGATGAGAGCATGAGTGTTTCAATGTCAGGTGTTAAGATTGAGGGTGACTGCACAGACTAAATTTGGCTGCTTTGTGCAGTTCTAAGTGATAAAGTGCTCTGTGGATCCATTCTCCCTTTTTCATTCAAGCTTGATGTCCTTCTGCCCATTTCTACTTTTAAGACCTTCTTGCCAATAAGTTTCTCCCCTGGTCTCCAGTCAGGCCCGTGCTGCAGTGTGCTTATTTCCAAATTTGAATCAAATGAATCTGTCTTTGTAGTGCTTGGAAAACTAGAAAACAGGTCACAAGGCTGCTGCTGAGGACAGAGAATTCTTTCTGTGCTCTTGGTTCTGGACCTGGCACAGAAGCATCACTAATAAGTATCTTGTTTTGCCACAAAAGCTCTGGGGAGGGGTCTAAAGCAGCAGGACAGCCAACATACCTCTATTCTGTGATTCATTGAAGCAAGCCTCTGCTGATGTGCAGCAGTGCTTCTCTGGAGGGTGTTAACTGTGGCCATGTAAGAATGGACTCTGGTGAGTATGGTTACAGGTATATCCTCCCCACCATAAATCCCTCTGGCCAAGTGTGGGGAGAATTCCTGCGTTTTGGAGTAGTTTTAAGGGGAGGAAAAAGTTGCAAGAAGGCTAGAACTGGGAAATGCTAACCTTGTTCTCAAAAAGCCACGTTGCTGTTTCGGCTGCTATTTTCTGTGTGGAAGAGCTGGTTTGGTTGGAACACTCCAGGCTAAAACTTCTGTCTGGCAATGGCACATGCAACTGGAAATCGTTTTTGCAATGGGAAGTATGTACACAAATTCTTTCACTTTGTGTTAGGTGTAAGCCATGGGGGATGAACTGTACTCCATTACCAAAGTTACTGAAGGTTATTTAAGGGCTGAGAAGTCTGTGTGTTCCTCCTCTCCTTGTAGGAGGCACTAGGATTAAAGCTTGTAGCTGTGCGAGCCTTCTGCGCAGCTCCCGAACTTGCGCTTCCACGCTGATGGGTTTACACTTCAGTTAACACAAACACAGTTGGCTATGGAAGGTGCCTTGACCCCAGTCCCTTGTCCACGGAGAATGAACACACGCAGAACCAACCAGCCAAGGTAAGAGCAAACTGCCCTCAGGGAGTCCCTGCGGCTCTGCAGCCTGCACCATAACCTGCCGTGTGGTGGCAGCTCTGCTCCGCTGCTGTTCTGGCAGCTCTGTGCGGAGCAGGGAAACCCAGAACAACTGAAGGGTTCCAGCAGGGTCTAAGTTAGTGACTCCTGGGGTGCTTCAGGACAGGACTGGGTGCTCTCACTTGGGTACTTCATCATGGCCCCTCTTACCACTCATCCCAGAGCTGCTTTCTTGTTTCTTAATGGCTATCATCTGGAGGATGAAATATGCTCTGTTCAAATCCAGAAGAGGAATAGAACAAGTCTCCTCTTCTGCTTTCTATAAGTAAATCTGCAAACTTGCTAGCTAAGTGTATATCTGGAAAAATAGTGCAATAATGGTAAGTGTAACTTCGTATTTTTAATTTACATTTAGAAAGTGTATTTCTGCTAAGTCAGATACAGCTATAATGAGCTAACGGAGAACAAATGGTATTAGAGAGCTTACAGTTTCCCTGGAGGGCAGTATATGCCGTCTGTGCAAAGCTGCTGCAGAGCAGGATGCCACATACTCCTGAATACCCACTCTTGGTACCTCAGAAGGACAAAAAAAGGCAAAAAAAAAAAAAAAAAAAAAAAGGCAGCATGGTCTTTTAATGAGTCAGTGTATGCTAGTGAGTACCGAGCCAAGAACCAGCCTCTTCCCCTTTAGGTGACTTTCAATTTTATTTCTTGTGTATCTTGCACATCAATCCCTACTACAAGCCGCTTTCCTCATCACATGCACCTACTCTGGATATAACCATTTCCTCGTATTGCTTTGTGTAAGCTGTGATTCCTCCTGCACATCCCTCTTTTAGTCTGATTTTAAACTCTTACGTGTCCAAAAGCAGGGCTAATGGAAAGAACATACTCTAGGACAGCAGAGGGAAAATAAAATCCATACAGTAGGTAAGCTATGCTGCCAGTTGCAAGGAACAAACAAATCCATTTAATCAAGGGAAATACAGCTCTGTAAGACGCTGTCTATATTTCCTGCTGCTAAACAATTTGGGGATGGGTTTTTATATCCCTTAGCAACCTAATGTTCCCAAAGTCAACAGGAATTTTGGCACCGCTAACTCCTGTTAATGAACCATTTGTGATGCTTTAAAAAAAAAAAAATACAGCCTGTCACTGAAAAAAAATGCCTCTCTGATTAAAGTCATCTCAAGGAAAGGGTGGAAGTGAACTGCAATTAACCTCTTTCCTTTTTGTGTCCATCATGCTGTCAGCATGTGGCTGCATTATTGTGCTACAGAGATTGCTTGTGGACCTTCCCTCCATAGCACACACTCAGCTGTCTGCAGCGTGGGCCATCTCCGCATCCATCTTATGAAGGTGGCCTAGTGTTTTCTCTATCTCGGTTTTAACTTTAGGCTCACAGTCCCAAATTGCATTCTGTATACTCTGCAGGTTCCACTGGGTTCTTAGGAGAGCATCATCCAGTGTGAAAACACCATCGCGTATTCTTCGCACTTGTGTGCACACAGCAGATGATTTCAGCTCCAGACCAATCTCGTGAACTATTTTTCGGAGGTACTGCTGAGTCTCATGCAAGCAATGGATTTCTAGAAGGACAGAGAGATTCCTTCAGAAGCAGCAAAGAGTTGATACAAATTCAGACCTTGTCTGTAAATCCAGACATCACTCACAGTTATGCTGAAAGAACCGGTTTGGTAGAAGAGACTATTTAAGATACAGCATGGGTGGATTATGATTTTCTGGAATACTGCAGGGTGTCCTAGCCCCTCCCAAAGTGAATGTTTTAGAAAACAAACTCTTAGATACAGGAGAGTTATGTAGAAATGTAGGTATTTCAAAATGGGTAAGAAAAGGTACCTTTTTAATAAGACAAATAATTTGTGAGGAGACTGCCTGCAGGAAAGTGAACCACACTTAAAAAAACAAAACAAAACAGACCTGCATTTCACTGAAGCACTGGGATAAGGAAGAATTTTGCCTCGTAAGTATTCGCTATGCAAATTGTCTTGCTTCAGTCTAAGATTTGGAACTGGCAGGGGAAAAACCTGTGAGCTAGGTGCACAGCTGGCTTGATTGATACAGCAGCTTCAGTATTGTGAGGGTTCCAGATCTCGCCCTACCAAATAATCTTTCCATCGCACTAAAGAGGAGATGCTTTAGTGACCCTGGGAACTACAAAACATTAAATTTTCTGCAGAGTTTACCAGTTATGTGTTGATACAAAGTTCCCACTAACTCATTTTGCATTAAATCATGAATAAGAAACTGAAGTTTACCAACTTATTTGCCATAATATATACTCAGGCTTCCCCAATACGTTTTGTACCAGTCCTACCTAGCTGGAATGCTGGAATTGCGAACTGGAGGCATCGGATTGCTGTGATTATCGGGGGGCTTTTTCCCATGGGGCGAATCAACCCTTTGACAGCCAGCTCATATGCCTCTTGTGTTTTCATGTCAATGTTAGAATGCCTGGAAAAAGAAAAAAGGGAGCAGCCACTTAGTACTTCTCTTCAATGAGACTCAAAATATCTCCATGCCCAATAAATCAGAGATGCAATTTTATTCTTAAAACTGCCTATGTGTTGAGCCTTTGCATACATTTTAATGTGTGTTTTAATATGTGTACTGTCAGCAGTGTAGCTGGGGAGGGAGGTACTTGGTCATGTCTACAAGATATTTTTGTAAGCCCTAACGTAGCTAATAGGTCCTAACATAGCTGGAGATTTCAGGATACCAAAAGGACACAACTGCAACATCTCACCAGAGTACAGGGCACTCAGAGTAACTTCTCTCTGTCCCTGCCTAGCACTCTAACCCTTAAAGACTTTGATTATGGCAAACAAAATCATCTCATTTGTTTTAAAGACCGGCAAATGGCAGTTGGATCAGGTCAGCTGCATCTCCCCATTGGGTACGTACATCAGCAGGGCCCTATGATTTGTTCCTTGAATGACAGCAAGAATCCGTTCCAGCTTCTCCCTTGTGATATGATCTGTGAATATTAACATAGAAACAAAGCCTCAATTAGCCATCCAGAAACTGGAAAGCGACAGCAGTCTGAAATGTGCCATCAGGGTATTACTGTCCCTTTGACAGGCAGTCACATCGAAATGGGCTGATGAGAACCGCCGAGAGGTCGCTTTAGCAGAGCAGACTCACTTCTCGCTGTACCGTGAAAATGCGCAGAGCAGCACAGCGCTGGGCTACAACGGGAAGAATCACTTTGCCTAATTGATTTCGGGATGTTGGCTCCAGTTTCTCTTATTGGATGTTTGAAGAGTTTCATTCAATGAAAGCTTCTAACCGCTATCTCTAGGTATGACTTACGGAGAAATCTGGGTCCCACCCAACCCAGCAGCAACCGCTGCGATCGGGACTTATGCTGGCTTTGTATAGATTGTGGTTGTATCTAGCACAGGACTGCGCTTGGGCTGCATGTAAAAATAACGACTAGAAAGCATTTCAGGTGTACCTTTTGTCTTTGTGCAATTTACCTGGTTAAATGCTTTACAGTTAGCATGCTGTTTGTTTGGTGTTCTGGTTTGGTTTTTTTTGAAAACACATCAATTCAGTTTCTTACCAAACGTTGTCTTCTCTACTAGCTTCCCTGTGTCTGAGAAGTCATCAGTGGCTTTACCAAACAGCCCACCGACAGTGTAAACCTTGAAGAAGGGCAAAGAATGCAATTTATCAAAGAAATACTCCAAGCAATTGAGTAGCAATATTCTGCCATGCAGCTGCTGGGAAGTGCAGCCTATGCTGATGTTGCACAGAAAGACAGCAGCGTCTTCTCATACGGCCAGCACGTGTGGATGCTCACGTGAAGGCTGAATTCTGGACCCTGAAAAGCTCTTGAAAGCATTGGTGGGTTTAAGACTCAAAAGCAGAAACACCGTCACAAGGCCAGTCCGGGGCACTGGGGCAGGAATCAAGTGTGCCGCTGCACTCAGACGTTCTGAGGCCGTTCAGAGCCATCACCTACCTTGGTCAGGTGGCAGTTGTACAGATCAGTGAGTAGCTTGTTCCCGTGGCCTATGCCAAGTACTGAAACACAGAAGATGGGGAGCGCGTTGTTCAGCCACACGGAAAGTTACTTACGTGCGTTTACACAGCTCTGCACTCTCATGCTACTTCCCCCCTGCCCCAGACAGGGCCGTATCTCCTTAAAAGTCATGTATGAACAATGCAATTAGACCCTCAAATTACCGCCTGTCATTAAAACTATAAGGTACTTGGATTTTCCCAGAACTTTCCACCTGGGTACTTCAGGGCAAATGCGTAGCAATGCCGGCGGCAGTGAAGCCAATTCAAGCAGTGGAACGGAGACGGGGGGTTACGTGGCAGAGCACTAACGGTGTCACGGGCAAGCTGTGTGCCGGGGCTAAGGGGTCGCTCCCGCCTCCCGGCCTTGCCAGCTTCCTGCGGGACCGTTTCTTCTGTGTTTTTGCACTTATGCTCCCGGCGGGGTTGTGAG